AGGCTAGCATGAGGAAGGGGTTCGTGCCTAATCATTATTATATGGAGCATCATCAAAATTTACAAAGCCTCTATCAAGGTGCTAGGAGTGTGGAAGATTATCACAAGGAGATGGAGATTCCTATGATTAGAGTGAATGTTGAGGAGGATAGAGAGGCCACCATGGCCCAATTTTTGAATGGTTTGAATAGAGAGATAGTTAATGTGGTAGAGTTGCAACATTATGTGGAGTTGGAAGACATACTACATGTAGCTATGAAGGTGGAAAGACAATTGAAGAGGAAACGGACTCCTAGATATTCATCGAGTTCTTTGGGTTCTAACTCTTATTGGAAATCGAAGTGGGATAACAATAAAGGTGATGGGGCTATTTCAAAAAGTAGGACTGAGCTACCGAATGGAAAGGAAGAAGTTGCTAGCAAAGCTCTACCCAACGTGGTTTCCCAACCCTCTAGAAATTGGGATATCAAATGCTATAGGTGCTTGGGAACGAGACACATTGCTTCTCAATGTCCCAACAAAAGGGTGATGATTTTGCGAGATAATAGAGAAGTGGTGAATGATATTGAGGATGAATATAATGGACAAAAATAAGAATAAAGAATAAAAAATCATATTTTAATGCTAGGCAGTCCATGTCTATCAATCTATATGAGTGCCTTAATATATAGTAGTAGATAAGCTACTCTATATATCTGATATAGTCGATGATCCCAACTTTCTGCAGTAAGAGCATCTACAACCTGATTTCCCTCTCTGTAGATGTAGGAAACTGTGTCTCTGTTGAATGATACGATGACTGTGATCTGTCTAAGTATAACCTGAATAGTCCATGGTTCTCCTTCTCTAGTGATGTAGTGAATAGCCACTACAGAATCTAACTAAATCCAAATGTCTGAAAGACCGAGTCCTCTAGTTGTGCCTCTAGTATCAAGCACGATTCGTACAAAGGTGAGAAAGCCCTAATACAGGAATTTCTAGTTCTAATTATTTTTAAGGGTATTAATCTAATATTTTATTTTCAAGGGCAATGGACCTAATTTTTCCTTCTTATTGTTTTTATTACTATTCTGTAAATTTATCATATCTATCAATGTATTTTCTCAATTTATATTTATATATCGTCAAGTGAAGATATTTGCTTC